TTGTAGTATGGTAACCAAAATTAGTCGCAGTATTCCAGGTGTGGTCTTATTAGGGTTTTATAAAGCGGTACTAATACTTCGTATGATCTTGATTCTATGCCTCTGTTTATACAACTCTGGATTGTATTAGCTTTTTTAGCTGCTGCTGCACACTGCTGGCTCCTAGTCAAGTGATCGTCTACTAGGACTCCAAGGTCCCTCTCACAGTTGCTGTTTTTGAGCCAGGTCTCGCCTAATCTGTACTTATACCTTTGATTTTTCCTACCTAAATGTAAAACTTTGTTTTTCTGCACATTAAAACTAATTTTGTTGGATAGGGCCCATTGTTCAAGTTTGTCAAGATCTTTTTGGATGAGCTAGTCTTCTGGGGTGTTGGCTATTGCTGCCAATTTGGTGTCATCTGCAAATTTGATGAGTTCCCATTCTATTCCCTCATCTAAGTCATTGATGAAGATATTGAAGAGTACTGGGCCTAAGACGGAGCCTTGTAGTACCCCACTGCTTACTTCTCTCCATGTGGATGTAGTACCATTGAGGACTACTCGTTGAGTACAGTTTGTCAGCCAGCTACAGATCCATCTAATGGTGTTGTTGTCTATCCCACTTTTTTCTAGCTTACTAAGCAGCAGGTTGTGGTCTACTTTGTCAAATGCCTTACTGAAGTCTAAGTATACTATGTACACAGCGTTTCGCTGGTCTGCTAATTTAGTCACATTATCAAAGAATGAAATAAGATTGGTTTGGCATGATCTGTTTTTGACAAACCCATGCTGGCTACTGGTTATAACTTGGGTTGCTTCTAGGTGTTCACAGATCTGTTTTTTGATTATCTTTTCCAGGATCTCCCCAGGTATTGATGTTAGACTGATTGGTCTGTGATTTCCTGGGTCTGTTTTTTTCCCTTTCTTGAAGATGGGAACCACATCAGCCCTTTTACAATCAGCTGTACTCCAGGATTTTTCAAAGATATGGTACAATGGTTCTGAGATAACATCTGCCAGCTTCTTCAGAACTCTGGGAAGTAATCTGTTGGGTCCTGGTGATTTATATTCATCAAGGTCGGATAGGTGTTCTCTTACCATTTTCCTGCTTATTTTAATTTTTCTTTCTAGTTTGTCTTCTGCAGTAGTTTTTTTTGGTACGTTGGACTGTAATTTCTTTTTGTGTGAAGACTGATGCAAAGAATGAGTTAAGCAGCTCTGCTTTCTCCCTACTGCCTGTTACTTCCTTGCCATCTTCTCTCTTTAATGGACCTATTGTTTCCTTGACTTTTTTCTTGTTATTAATATGTTGAAAGAAACTTTTTTTTATTATCCTTGACTTCTGTTGCAAGACTTTTTTATGAACCGACAGAGTTTCCCACACTTCTTGAATTGTTTTCCTGTTTAGGATTTTCATCCATGGAATCCTTCCTAAGTTCTCTCTTCAGCTCTTTTGAAGTTTAAGACTCTGGTTGGATTATTATTTTGGATTATTAAAGAGAAGACCGTGAGACCCAAGGACAATTTGCAGGTATCTGGCCAGATGCAGAAACATTTTCTCATAACAATATTTTCCCATTTAATTGGACAATGTGACCTGATCCAGAGGGAGGAGAAAGAATCTATGCTTTTACTATATGGGGCTTGGATGGGGTTTAGCCAGAGCTGGTTTTACTTTCATACATGCCAAAATGATTTACTCAATAAAGTTTTACATTAAGAGAACAAAAAGTCTCGAAGGTGTTTGCTTGCTTGGGTTTGTTAGTCGGAACCTTGACAACAATTTAATGGGAGTATGGGTAACTAGGCAGCAAAGTAAGACATTTGGGGGCACAGGTGATATTTTCATATGTACTTTCAACAAAAGGTCAACATTCACTCAGAGAATGGAGGATTCTAGAAGTAAACTGGTGGCTCAAGGAATGGGGCCAAGAGAAATTTGGATTTTGGGACTTTGGTTTACTTTATATTACCTACAGGAAAGTCTTCTGGCAAGAGATGAGTGCATCTTACAAGGATCAGGAAGGATGTGATTGGAAAACAACTAGCTCATCTAAAGAGCTTTAAACTAAAACTGAAAGGGGAGCAAGATCAATCTTTAGGGCTACCCCAAGACAACCAAACAGCCAATAATGAAGGGAATAAAACAGGAAAACTAGGAAGCAAATGCAAGGTGAGCCATAAAGAACTCAAATACTTATATACTAATGCTCAGAGTTTAGTAACAAACGGGGAGAACTTGCAGTCCTAGTACATGAGGGCAGATACAATGGTGTTGCTATTACCGAAATTTGATGGGATGGAACCCATCCCATAACTGGAACATACTGGTAGAAGTTATAAATTGTTCAAAGAAGAAAAAAAAGAAAAACCAGAACCAATTCAAAAAAGGGGGCGCAGTAGTTTTGTATGCAAAGAATTACTACAGTATATCTCTACAGAAATACACTGTCAGAATCTAGTTATATTTCCTTTCTATCTATCTTCTCTGATGCAAAACCAATTCTTACCCTTTCCTGGATCCTGCCATACTCCCAAGGGGGAGGGGGGATATGCATGCGGGTTTTATTACTTTCACTTCTTCTATTCACTACAAAGTAACCTTTTGTTTATTCGCCTTCGGGTCTGCTAGCCATTACAATGTAACCATTTGCCTCTTATCCTATGCCCCTCTGAACTTCTCCTCCTTACTGGCCAGCTAGGAAAAGGGGGGTGAAAAGATACAGCCCTCCGGGATCTGATTTATTTCTCCATCATCAAAATAAGGTGTGAGGAGCTGTTGAATGATCATGCACAACGGAGCCAGATTGATGTTATATTTCCTGGATTTAACACCTAGAAATCTGCCGGTCTGAATCGCTCAGAAGAACTGCGGGGTGGGATTGCTTAGGGACACTTTAAAACATCGATTTGTGAGGGAATCCCTCAGATCCTGTTGATCATGCCTGCTATCAATTTCTCTTAGTAAAACTTCCTGTTCGAAGAGATTGTTTCCAAGAGTTCTGCTTTCTTAAGATGTGGATTGAAGTGGTTCCTTACATACACAATATTAGGGATGAAAGCCTTCTTGAATGTATTTGGGAAGATATTAAAATAAAAAGAAATGGCATTGCTATAGGTGTGTACTACATGTACCACACAGAATAAATAGATGAATTCTTTGCTAATCAGTTAGCCGAGATGTGCAGGAAATACCACAGTGTAATAATAGGGGACTTTAACTACTCTGTCATCAACTTGGAAACCAACTGCAACGCAACAGAGATTGTCACCCAAAAGGTGGAGGAGAAAAGTAGATGGTCGGCTATACTGGATTTAATCCTAACTAATAGGGATGAAATGGTTGCAGGAGTGGAAGTTGTAGAAACTTTGTCGAAGAGTGACTATGACTTACTAGAATTCATCATAATGCATGCAGAGGTGACTGAACAAAATCAGATTTGTGTTTAGATTTTGCCTAAATCAAACCAAACTAAAAGAGAGATTAGGAAGGATTCCATGGATGGATATCCTAGAAAGAAAAAATGACAGATTTGCTGTCGTATATACATTGTTTGACTCTCAAGGGATTTACTAATTTATGCCAAGAGTTCATTTTGTTTTATTCAAGTTGGTGTTGATTTCTGGCACAAACGTCATGCCTAAAATGGGATTAGAACTCACATATAGGGTCTCTAATTTTAACTTAATTTCTATTTATCTTTTAAAAATAGCTTTGTTATACAAGTAGTCCTTGACTTATGACCAGTTGTTTAGTGACTGTTCGAAGTTATGATACTCTTTCTGAGTATATCTCATATGTATCAATTGTCTATTATTTTTCTTATCAGTTTGATTTGATTTAATGAGGGCAATATTTATTCTTAGTGATTTGATTTGTTTTAACCTAACGAATGCAAATAGACATATAAAGCACACTATTTTTCAAAAAATGAATAAAATATAACATAGTGGAGACCTTTTAGAGTTTTCTTCTTATGGAAGAAATTTTTGAACCCATTTCCAACATCTTCCCTCAAATTCTTCAAAATCCTTTTCTGAAATCCCACATACAAGTCTGATTCTTTGATTCTTACCCAAACATTTTCAAAAGGATTTCCATGTTCTGCTTTCTGAACGTCTGTGCAAGTGTACATTTTCTTCCTGTACAAAGCAGCATCCCCATCTTTCATGTACAATGTAGCCTTCCAGTTATAAACATCACAGAATATTCCAGCAATAACAATCACATCATACTTGCTTTTTGAATGAGGATTGCTATTGGTTTATTGGGTCTTACAGAATCAACCCTCCTTGCTATGCTTAGTTTCTCATATACAGTGTGTTTGTAGCCCACTGCCTCCCAAGAAAATACAGGGATTTATCCAGGTAGTCACCATGCACCATAGGCACGTAGCGCGCGCACACAACACAAATATACCTTTGAGTCAATCTTGAATCACTGTGGTTGTTAAGTGGGGTGTGACTGAATGTATATATGACTGACCTGATTTTATGATTTTTTTGTGGCACCCTTGTTAAGTGAATACTGTGATTGTTAAGTGAACCCATGTTTTGCTATGGGCTGGTTTTGCCAAAAAAGGGAAGCAACTGCCAGTTTTCAGCAAAACCATCATCAAACATGGTCACATAACTGTGGAATGCTCCAAACAGCTGTAAATACAGCTGCATTGCCAAATGCCATTGGAATTTCAAAACCAAGTCATAATTACCCCCAGGTAGGTCCATCATAACATTGAACAGTCGCTAACTGACTAGTTGAGACTATCAGTACAATCATAACTCAAACCAGTGAACTGGTATATGCCACAGCCACTGTAATCCTTGAGGTGCTTGGATATAGAGTTAAGAAGAACAGCAGTACATACACCTTCTCTCTGTGTATGTACTGCTGTTCTTCTTAACTCTATATCTTAACTCTTCTTCTTAACTCTGCTGCCTTAACCATTATATCAAATTGGCCTTATTATAATATAGATTATAAAATAATACATCTTATTCCAGTATTTAATAACCCACCTTAAAGAGAGGATGGACTGCAGGCAATTGTCGGAACATAGCCACTGCAAAAACTTCTGAAATTAAGTGAGTCCGAAGCAGATGAGTCACAGTCTGATGAATATGGAAATCAGAAGAACGTACCCATATTTTGGCTAATAACCAATCATACTTAGCATCAGATGGAAGGAAAATAGGATTGCTTTGTTCAGGAGCTTGATTTATCTGAAAGGTTTAATAGAATGGTTAATATCTTCAATAACAACCAAATGTTATTTTAATTGGATAAAACCAAAATTACCTGAATTGCAATAGGGAGAATTTTATTCTCTAAATTCTTATACAATAAACAGATAGGAGCAGCCAAATACTGTACTGTGCAGGGATCTGTCTTATTGACTTCAACATCATCTAGAAGTTCATAGTCCACAATGAAAATATTTCCTTGCTGTCCAAAAAAAAAAAAAGGTAAGCAATTTGAGATGTAAAAATAATCCTGGAAACATTAAGTATTTTATCTTTGGAATATTTATATCACAAACACATAAATAAGAAAATTTATAATAGGCTGAACAATTTAACTACTTCTGCCAGTTTCGTAGCTCTGAGTGCTCCTCTCATCACTGGGATCACTTAGGCCTTTACTTTCCACATCATCTCCAGTTCCTCTGCTATATCTATCACCACCACTTCTTGTGGTCCTTGTCTACTACCACAATGTTTTGTTGATTGCCCAATACCTACCTGTCCATCTGGATCTGGAAGTCGCACAGGATGTTAGCCTCTTATTCCCCATAACCTTCTCTGGAATCTTCCATCTGGACTTAGGAGGGTCTAGCCCATACGCTGTGTGCAGATGTTCCCATACACAATGCTTGGTTCTGCAGTTCAGTGTATGCTGTTCCTGCCTGCATCTTACACATTACCACTATATGTTGGACTGTCTCTGAGGCCTCTCTGCATAATCTATACCTTGGATCCTGTCTAGAGAGGTAGACTTTTGTTTTTAGGATCAGTGCCTTGGTGCTATCTTTCAGTTAAATCCTTTCCAATTATGATTAAGATTTTTGCCATCTCTGCTATCTATTGACGGTACATACATGCAGAGTTTTGCCTTGCTATGGCACTTCCTTTGTTTGATCTTCCACTATGTCTGTTGCTTCACTCAGCAGCTCATCTTTGAATGCCATCTTATTGATGTACTCCTGGATGCTCTGAGTTTCATGCAGGGCAATGGCTTTGACACTCACCAGACTTAGCCTTCCTTCTTTCTGGTGTGTGTAGTCTCTGGGTGTTGGGCTTGGGAGAGGAAACTTCTCTACATTGTCAAAAGCTTCGGGGTCTTCACATCAGTAGCTTCCATAACCTCCTTTGGCCAATTCACTATACCAACATGGCATCTGATGACTGGCAGAGCAGATGTGTTGATTGTGTGGATCTTGTTCTTCCCATTGAACTGGCTCTTCAGGACCTGTCATCCTTTGGTGGCACTTGTATATTGCTGTCCTCCTTGTCTTCTCATTGTGACTCTCATGTAATTGTAGGATGCCAAGGTATTTGTAGTTTCTCTGTATGTCTGCTAGGTCACCTGCTGATAGTTCCATCCCATCAGTCTTAATTATCTTCCCTCTCTCGACTACCATCCAACTACACATTTTCAGTCTGAAAAACATCCCAATGTCCTTACAGTAGATATGCCAGGTGGATCAAAGAGTCGATGTCTCATTCATTTTTAGCATATAGCTTAATGTCATCTATATAGAGGAGATAGCTGATGTTAGTTCCAGTTTTGAACTTGTATTCATATCCAGACCTTAAGATTATCTGCCTGAGGAGCTTCAAATCTGCATGCATTACCTTGATACCTCCACTTGGTGGCCCTGTGCATGCACTTGGTGGCCTCCACTTGGTGGCCTCTGCATGCATTACCTTGATACCTCCACTTGGTGGCCCTGTGTGAGCTAGCTTGAGTTAACTGCCAGTCTTATCTTCCACAGTCCCATTGTATTTCTTGAGGAAGGTTCTTAGTGTCCTGTTGACTATGTGTAGTGTCAAGCACTCACAGACTTTCTTAGCAGTGACATTCTAGCTTCAAATGTTGGCTGCGCATCCACTTGTTCTTCTGTGTCTTCTTGAGTCTTGGATGTGTAGTTGCTTTATCTCAGGTTGTGAGAGCTGCTTCCTCTTCATTATGTTGAAGCATTGAGTAACTAGCTGTTTTCAGAGTTAGTGTAGATGCAGGTCTTCTATCCATTCATAGTTCCCTCATACATTGCATATATCCCCTCTTGTTAGGTCTACTGTTGTAGTAGCATTCCATCAGTTTACAGAAGATGACAAGGAGGTGATGGGCAGCAGAGAGAAAATGGAACTGCTTAATTCATTCTTTGCATATGTCTTTACACAAAACGGAAAAAATACTCAAATCCATCAAAAGCAGTACTTGACTTGTATACAGAAAGGGAATACAAGTCAAAATAGTAAAGTGACTTGTATACAGAAAGGGAATATGTCAAAATAGGCAAAAAATGACAAGACAATATCTATTCACTCTAGATGAATTTAAATCACCAGGTCCTTTGTAATATATTTTTATTAATTTATCAAAGTATAAAATACAAAGAGAAATAAAAAAAATAGAAAACTGTGGGGGAGGGAAAAAAGAGAAAATATGGAGTAAAGAGGGAAAAAGAAAGAAAAAGGCATTGACTTCCAATTCTCTTTAGCATAGAAGATAACATTACAACCTCAACTTTTTACTTTTACACAACAGTATATACTAGCAATTTCTATAGCAACCAACCTATCTAATCAGCAAAAACAAAATCAAAGTTTTATATTTTTTTCCATCGCAAGCACAAAATCCAGAAGTAATTTCCAAATAGAAACAAAATTAAACTGGGAGACAAAGTAGACCGCAATCTACTTCTTGGCAAGCCAGAAAAATGTGGGCTAGAAGGATTTGTAACTGACTGACAAACTACTCAATGAGTCGTCCTTAATGGTACTACATCTACATGGAGGGAAGCAGTGGGGCACCCGAAGGTTCCATCTTAGGCCTAGTACTCTTCAATATCTTCATAAATGATTTAGATGAGGGAAAAGAAAGGAAACTCATCAAATTTGCAGTTGACACAAAGCTGGCAGGAATATCCAACACCCCAGAAGACAAGCTCAGGATCCAAAAAGATCTTGACAAGCTTGAACAATGGGCTCTATCCAACAATATGAAATTTAATGTGGAGAAAAGGAAAGTTTTACACTTAGGCAGGAAAAACCAAAGGTACAAGTACATATTAGGCAAAACCTGGCTCAAAAACAGTAACTGTGAGAGGGACCTTGGAGTCCTAGTGGATGATCACTTAAATATGAGTCAGCAGTGTGCGGCAGCAGCCAAAAATGCTAATACAAACCTTGGTTGTGCAAACAGAGGCATAGAATCAAAATCACATAAAGTATTAGTACTGCTTTATAAAGTCCTAGTAAGGCAACACCTGAGATACTGCATTCAGTTTTGATCACCACATTACAAAAAAGATGTTGAGACTTTTGAAAAAGTGTAAAGAGCAACTAAGATGATTAAAGGCCTGGAGACCAAAACATATGAAGAACGGTTGCAGGATTTGGGTTTGGCTAGCCTACAGAAAAGAAGGACTGGGGGGGGGGCATGTGTTAACAGTGTTCCAGTATTTGAGAGGTTGCCACAAAGAAGAGGGAATCAGCTTATTTTCCAAAGCACCAGAAGGCAAGACAAGAAATAATGGATGAAAACTAATCAAGGAGAGAAGCAACCTGGAATTAAGGAGGAAATTCCTAACAGTGTGGGCAATTAATCAGTGGAACAGCTTGCCTTCAGACGTTGTGGTTGCTTCATCACTGGAGGTTGTTAAGAAGAGACTGGACAGTCACTTGTCTGAAATTTTATAGGGTCTCCTGCTTGAGTAGGGGGTTGGACTAGAAGACCTCTAAGGTCGCTTCCAGCTCTATTCTGATTGATTGATGTTCTCTTCTTTGGATAAAAGAATCAATTTAAACATCTCTGCTTCTCCTTGCTGCGGGGAATAGTATATGCTTCTGTTTACTGTTTAAACTATCATAATTTATATTAAAAGAATTCCCTATATTATTTCATATTTGTATCTTTAGTACCTAGCCGATTTATAATACAGGTGATTCTCTGTAGGGAGCTTTCAAAGATTTCCCTGATGACAGATTCAAGCTCAGGTTTAAGCATCTTCGTAGCTCCATCTAGTGGTCAAAAATGTATTTCTATTTATTTATTTATTCCTTTTTCTGGCCAATCATTGTTCATGAAAATTGGAAAATGTCAACCACCCACAGCAAAGCAATTCAAGGTTACAGATTATTTTAAAAATAGTAAAATAAAACCATAACTTTTATCCTTACATTTCTCCATCAAATTTCAAAAGGAAAAATATACCAGCCTTATTTTTAGCTTCCCTCCAGCAACCCTCTTCCTTGTCTTTTAACAACAAAGAAGTCTCAAAAATGGCTGTGACCATAGAGACACTCTTTTAACTGTTAAAAATAATAGTCTCATTAATTGGTTAAGAAATGAAAGGCACGACTTATTGTCCATTTGAAAAATAAATTCCAAAATAGCTATTTTGTCCAACAATGACGTTATTGCAGCCCCACCCCCAGGCATTAGCGCACCAGCTGCTTCCTTAATTTCAAAGTGCTACTCCCCCTCTATCATAATAGATTGTGGTGCAGGAGGAACTTTTGGCCTTAAAGGCAAGGTTATTTCTGGTATTAGTAAACTATAATGGAACACGGGTGGATTTGCTTAAGAGTTTTGGGAGTTCTAATTCCACAGTAACTGGGTTTATAATACATTTGATGGGGAAGAGTCCTACAAACCTAGGGCTTAGCTTCTTCGAAAGTTGAAGTGACTGAAGAAACCTAATGGATAGGTAAACCCTGTCCCCAAGGCAGAAAGGTTTGGGTTCTATTCTTTCCTTATCTGTTTGAGCTTTGTAGGCATCCCTGCCTTCGTCTAGAGCTTTCCTTACTATTGCCCAGGTGTTTTGTAACTGATTTATCCATTCCTTAAGGGAAGGAATGGTGGGTTCAATGATAGGCAGTTCTGGCATTGGTTTAAACACCTGCCCTGTAGCACTTGAAAGGGAGTGTATCCGGTATTAGAGTGGATAGCATTGTTATATGCCACTTCAGCAAAGGGCAGGAGGTCGGTCCAATTGTCCTGTTGATAATTAATAAAACATCTAAGGTATTGTTCTAGAACTGAGTTCATTTGTTCTGTCCCCCCATTCATTTGAGGATGATGACTAGAACTCAAGCCTTGTTCTGTGCCCAAAAGGTCTAAAAAAGCCTTTCAGAACTTAGAAGTAAATTGGACACCCTGTCTGAAATTATGCGTTGGGGGAACCATGTAGTCAGTAGATATGTTAAAGAAACATTTTA